CATTTTCTTTATTACTCCTAATTTAAATACTTAAATATTATGGCATGACTGGTCATTTCAAGTGAAAAAAAAAAATATTGCCTAGCTGTAAACTTTACTCAAAGGCCAATATGTAGACTAGTAAATTGGACAGAAAAATCTTCCCTCTACAACTTGCAGCAACTGGATTTGCCAGCCTTTCTGTTCAAAAAGGAAACGTCCAATCTTTGCCCTCTCCAGTTGCCCATGACCAGTAAGTCAAAGAAAGTTCTCCTTGGTGGAAATTTTGTTGATATCAGTGTGTGCTTGAGAGGCTTCCCTTGACTGACCAACATTTCTTAACTGGGATTTGTTTCTTATGTTAGAAAATAGACTAATTTTAATTTGATTTTAAAGAAAGACCCAGATTACCCTTTTTCTTTCTTGTAGCTCATCAGAATACATTATTTTTCCCATATTAAAAATTATTTATTCAAAAGATTGAGTTTTTAATATTAAGTTTTGTTTTGTAGTAGCTGTAGGGAGCTCCAGTGCCTGTGCCATGCTCTGTGTTTTTACTACAGCAATCTCATAAAATATGGTTCCTCCATTAATACACTTGATATTTCTGTGGGCAAAGATTGGCAATTTTGAGAGATATTGGAGGAGAGGAATTAAAATAGTTGGAAGATTAAATTTTCTATTTCATTTACCCCTATATTATCCAGGTAGGTTTCATTTGTGCATCACTGTATATGATCATCTATTATTTATGTTCTTCCACACCAAAAGAGCAAGTGTCTGCATCATATTATTTTAGCAAGTAGGCGTTTGGTTGCATGGTGGGTTTTTAGTTCAGTAGTACGTGCTAGAGAGGGCAACATCAGTGAGATGTGCCTTTTTTGAAGCAGAGATTTGTGGTACTTAAAATACTTCTGATCAGTCCACTTGGTGCCTGCCTGAGAATGTTAAAAATGACCAGTAAGTACTGCTCCTTTTAGTCCTTCAGAAATGAGTGAGCCAGTAATGAACACACATTCTCCCATCAATATTTACTTGTTAGAGGTCTGACCGAGAGCTCATCAATCTTTTCTGATGGATACCTCGGCTCTCATCACCTCTCAGATAAGACACTTCTTCTGCCTTATGTATGATAGCATCAGATTTTATCAGCAGGTGTTAAAGGATGGAAATGGGTTCAGCCAGTATTAGCTGACGTTAGATCAAGAGTTCCTACCAGTGCCTGATGATTTTCCACAGCAAGCCAAGGAAGATTTGTACATGTGCATTGCTGAGGAACCTGCATCTTGTTAGGCAGCAAAACCCTTAACTGATCAGCACTGACTGAAGTTCATGCTGCCTTCTGATGTTTCCTGGAGCTTTCATTTGGCTGAGACCTCTACTCTGTATTTGTGGGTTGAATTGATTTAAGCTTTTAATAGTGCATAGCAGTGTTGTGTGGGTAGAGATGGACAAAGGGTTGTTTCATGTAACCTTGCCTCCTGGGAAATGTCTGCTTTAGAATATAGCCCTACCCTTTATAGTAAGATCAATTTTTAAAAGTGAGTATTTTTTTAGCATTTTGCATTCAATAAGTATCTTCCCAACAGCACCAGTAATTGCTATGGTTACAAACAAACAAACAAAAAAATTCCAAGGAAAGCTCTCATGTGAGTTATCAGTTTAAACTGAGTTTATGACAGGAATTCAAATTGTTTCTGTACTTATCCCACCCGTCTAGTTAAGTTTATATTTTTTCAGATCTGGAAGTCCCTGAAGAGTCACAGTCATATCCTAGAAACACAATAGATGGCCTTCTAGGCTAATTTATCTGAATTTTCCACCCTCCAAATGTAAGTTTGAATGTAGATTTAAGAATGTGAAAAATTCACACACTTTCTCCCCCTGCCCTCACCAGTAGATCTTTAAAATTATTTCTGATGGATAATAATCAGAGAGAGTAAGGAGAGTCATGAAACTTCAAAGAATATAATCAGAATATATATCAGAATGTATACAACAATTACTTGAAGCTGCCTTATAATGTGAGGAAGAAAACCTTTGCAGTAGTTTGATAGTTATTCTGAAAGATCCCTACAGGATAAATTCTTGGGAACGGAGCAGTTGATATATGGAGGATCAAGGCTAGACAACACCCTCATGAATAATACACTGTGGGGAACTTGTCTTTAATGGATGCTGGATTAATTATATAAGTACTTTATGTGAGCCTTTTCCTTCCCCAAAGTATTTCCATTCTGAATGTAGTGAGTTACACAAAGAGTAATCACAGGTCACGTTATTCTAATTTGCTGTTGAACCCATTTTACTAGGCACTGCAAGAACTGTATACACTTAAAACTAAATAAATGTACTATTTAATGTCTTACTAATCTCAGATATCTTAAACGGTGATCTCCACTATATTTAAGGTAACCTTAAACCAAAAATAAGCTTCAGACTAAAAAAGAAATGTTCTGAAACTTTTTTCCTATCCCCACAAGCAGTCTCAGTGCACCCCAAGCCTTAACCTATGGTAGGTTGCAGATAGTTTTTTATTTCATGAGTAATTAGCTTGAATAAAATACATAAACATCACAATTTTGTGCTTTGTGATAATTTTCCTCCTTTGATTTGTTTTCCTATGCACAAGCATGCATTTTATAGAGAATAATGATCTACTCTTTCACTTCTAGTATAAAGAATGACTTATTTCCTTTAGGCACCTAAAAATGTACATGCTTTGGAACCGTTAAAGTGCTCTTAAAAAAAATCCTGACCTTTGAAAAACTTGACCTTCAGAGCCTTGTATAGATATCCAGTCTGGAAATGACTCTATAACAATCAGCATAAAATATGATGTGTTTTAAGAGCAGATGCTTAACTGCTATTGGGATTGTTCTGTCAGTACTACCCAAGCCCAGCCTGGACTCCTGACTGCAGCTTAGAAGTCTGCAGAATGAGGAGAAAAAGCTCAGTAGTTCTTAGTTCTTGACTGGACATGAGCTGGCAATTAGGCCATAGTTTGGATTCCTGGGATGATTGTAATATTGATCATATTATCATGCCTATCCTGAAAACTCCTTTGGGTAGACCAGGACAGAATAATTTCCAGTACTTAGTCATACTGTAATCTCCTCATGCCTGTGGGTATTGGGGGAAAATTGGTGGTTAGCTCCCTGTCACATGTATGCAATTTTGCTGCTGGAGTAAGGAATGCAAATTCCTTGATATCTACATCCAAGATTAACCTGTGAAGCCATAAAACTAATTATATTGATAGGTTTTAAAGACATAGAGGGACCCCTTGGGTAATTTAATCAGATGTTTTGCATTATGCATTACAGACACCAGGTATCTTGTTCAGGAATATCTGTGTCATTTTCTTCCTGTCCAGGAATCTCTGCATTAGAGAGAAAATATATCTCCATATATTTGGAAATCTTAGCAGTTCATAGGCATGTGACATGCTTCCTTTATTCCTTGTTCAGTTCATAATCTTGTTCCTCTTAGTGCAAAGCATACTCTCAGCAATATTTTTTTCTTTTCATGTATTTAGCATTGCTTCACCACAGGAAAAGAAAAAAGTTGGCTTTCCAATACATGCAGAAATTATACTATTGTATTTTTAGAAGATGAAAAATTCCTTGCATAAACACCTATGATTTAAGTTGCTATTGTAGTTCTCCATTCCTTCATTATCTCTATGCATTTGCATTAATAATCTTAATCCTTTTAAGCTCTTGACCTCAGTTATACCTTGAGAAGAAGATTTCCAAAAGCAATTTGCATTCATGTTGATAAGTTCTTTATTTTTAATATAATTCTTTTCCAGTTTCACTGAAGCCACCTTCTGGTGGTCTGAAATGCTGAAGTGGTTCATTTAGAGCAGTTTGCTAATTCCTCCTCTTTGGCATGCCTTCTGCCAAATACAGCCAGCCACATAGAGCCTATCACTTACATGGCTATTTTCCTGCCTGGTAAATTCCAAGTAGGTTTTCAGCATTTAGGAATCATTTTTGATTTTGCTGTATCCAGATCAGATTAGTTTATCCATCTTGAAGGTTCCCAAGCGGTCACAGCCAGCATCATCTCTTGAAGCACTGTTTTTTTCAGCAATATGATCTCCATTCTTTGTTCTGAAATACAGTTTTCTGTGTACTATAGGGCATTGCAGAAAACCAGCCTTTCATTCTTCTGTAGTAATGAGCAGATGCCAGGGTTGTTTAAATGTAAGAAACTTAGAAAATGCTTAAAATCTGTGGCTTTGGTGCATATGTTATTCCTTAATAACATCTTTTAAATATATAATTATCTTTCTTCTTACAATTTCCAAATATAACATTATCTTTCTTTGTAGCATTTCAAAATACCAATCTCTAAGAATTAAAATATTTTCTGTCTCTGGCAACTCTATCCCAAAACAAAGATATTAAATTCTGTAGCATGCTTTAAAACCATATTTGTATCTTATTTTGAGGGCTGCATTTGCGAGTAACTCAGATTTCAATTAAATGTATCTATGTGGTTTCATTTACAGTTCTACACATTATATATATGCATGTATATACATACATAACTTTTTTCTCAAATTGATATTTTCTTGTCACTCAATGTCATAACTGTGTTTGCTGCTTTTCATGTTTCACAGGCCAGATTCTGTCATGTGATATAGGAGCACTTAAAAATAAAATTATTTTTATTTTTAAACCTGGGGTCAGATTTGAACCGAGGATGATTTGTGATCTAGACAATACAAGTCTGTGTTAGATGGCGTCTGTTGCCCTTCTCTTGTGGATGTGTGTCTTTATGCTAGTCTAGTTCTTGGATGATTTTTATTCCCTATCAAATTTGTGATCATTTTTAATAGTATTCAAAGATGCTTGGCACATTGAAGTGCACAATTAACTAACCAGTCTAATTTGCAAAATTAGCCTGCCATTCTAGGCTGTGAGAACTACCATTATATTTTATTATGTAAAGTCTACTGATTTTCTTTCCTTTGCAATTTTTTTTTCCTCTTGATCATTTTCTACTTTTAGCTGTCTGAATGTCTGGAGATATTTCCAACAAATGCTGTTCGGTGGTCATGGCAAACCTTCAATTAACAGATTTGATGCAGCACATATCATTATCCCATTACTGAGTCATCCTTTTCTGCATTGTCTTTAAAGGTTAGTTATTTTTTGTTGAGAAATATTCCTTTCTCCATTAGCATTCTTTAGGGTGACTTCAGTGTCATCAGTTACACAATATCACCTGTCATATTTCAGGAGTACAGAAGGCTCTCTTAAATAAAAACCAAGATAGATTTAAATAAAGGAAACAACTCAAGCCAATGTAAAAGAACCTCTCTAAAAGCTGGTCTCCCTTTTATTCTCTTTATAAAATTTCCATACAAAGTGATCCCTTTAAAGTACAAGATCAATTATGACACACAATGGAGTGCAACAAGATACTTGTTGCTATTTTAAAATATTAAGCACTTACATTTAATAGTAAAAGATTTTTATTTTAAAAAGGCATAGCATTTTGTAGTCTGCTTTGCCACCTTTTCCAAGCAGGCAGCCCATCCTTGTTTGTGGGCAAACTTTCCAGTTAAAACTTCTGTATTTTTCCACGTAAGTACCATCAAGAGCCATCACTCAGCTTTGAAGGTGCCTTACAGGGAAGGCATGAAAAATGCATCTAGAGAAGAGGAATGGGCAGGTTTTATGAGGGGCTATTTGCCCATACCATGCACTAAGGGCTGTGACACTCCCTTGTCACAGCTTCCTCCACCTGGTTTTGGCATTACTGGTTAGCAAGTTGTGACATTTTTAAGTTGTCAGAAATTAGCTCAGTACAATCGGTTGTTTTGGACTCTAAAATGTCTTCCCCAAGATTTGCTTTTCTGTTCACACATTCTCAAAATGGCCTAGGCAACTAGTGATTTTATTTCAGCAAACCATTTAATTTAGAGTAGTAGATTTTGTATAGTTTCTGGTTAAACCCATCATTGCATTTGATGTCCATATATTTTAATTTTAAAGGCAAACAAGTTGATAATTTTTGGATGTTTTAACTAATCAATGTAACTTGCTAAAGTTTTATGATTTGCAGATTTTTGCATAAAAGAAGTTTGTTTATTTGAAGAAATATCTACTCTCAGTATTATAAAGACACATAGACACAAGAATACTACTATAGTTTCAAAAAGAAACTTGGATAATATTTGAGTGTTAGAGTTGCAAGATTTGGCTGCCTAGTTACAGAGGGATGTGGTAGCATTAAAATAATCATTTGGGAGTGTTATATGAACTTCTTTTAGAGCATAAATTATGTAACTCCAGTTGTCTAAAGCAGTACCAAGATATTCAGGTGTCCAGCTATAGAGATCTTTGCTCCAATATATCCCTCATTGCATTGCTCATAATTGTTAAAGCATTACTTAGACAGACAATAAACTCTGTTCCATATATTCACACATGATATATGGAATGTCACCTGCTGACAGCAAGAGTTTGAACTAAGTAATCATAAACATCAGCAGCTTTTATACTCATTTGCCCAAGTGTTCTCTAAAATGGCTGATAAGAGACACCTTTTAAACAGCATTCAACCCCTGTCCCCTAAACTAATAAAGCTTTGTCTCCCTCTCAAATGATTTTGATGTTTATAGAAAGCAGCCTATGCTATGAATTTCCCTTCTACATCAATTATCCACTGGAATGAAACAATCTACTGGAGGGAAAGAAAAGAACACACTTCAGAGTATTCTCCCACCATCTGGTCTTTCACAGAGATGCTGTCAAATCACCTTTACTGAAGTACTGAGATGCATAGCAAAAGTGTAATTTTGTTTTTTTAATCTTTGCCTGAGATTAGAATGAGGAAATCACAGAGGGTTCATCAATAGATAACTCATCTTGCAAAGCTTCTCTGAGTGCATGGGTTTTTCTCCTTTCCCACTGCTGAAGAATGGCATATTTTTTGAGATCGTTGTCCTTGTGACAGTTACATGACTGAAACGTGTAATATAATTTAAATAATAACAGTAGTGCTTTGGCTGTGATTCTTTAAAGCATCCAGAAAATGGAGAACTGGGTCAGGACAGGCAAAGTAAAAGTTGCTCTTAGAGATTAAGATTACAGAATGTTATTCTTTTGATGAGCTCCAAAATGGACAGTTAATAAAATGTCTCATAAAGGCCAGAAAAAAGATTGGGAAGACAGGAAATTTGACAAAGAACAACTGCTGTCAATATAACATCATGCAGAATGTCTAAGACAAGGCAATATTTTACAAAACACTCTGAGACTATGTCATGTCGTAACCTGGAAGAATCAAATAAAATGTAGAACAAAGAAGTACAAGGCAAGGAACACCTACAGAACTATTTCAACTGTTTCAACACATTAAATTAGATGAAACAATTGCCTATAGCACCTGGAACAAAGTCTTATTTAGCATTCCAAGTAACAACAGGATTCCATTGAACAGTCAAATTCATATCTCAGTTACAATTCTGTAAATCTGGGGTGAACCTCATAAAGCAAATAACCCAAATTATTGTGACTATATTTAATTGAGTCTTAACTGGCCGTAAGTATTCAATCAACAATGATAGCTACTTGAAGATATCTGCCACCATAGAACAAGAGTTATAACATATAATAAAGGGATTGAAATCCTACTGAGAAGAGATTAAGGAAGGACACAAATGTACCATGGGCCAAATCCATTAGTTACTATAACTAAAAAGACAATTTTACAGGACATTAGCTTATTTTTGGGTTTAGCTGTTGGTTTTGGAACTGCAGCAACATGGTCATTGCTACCATTTTTTAGGAGGCTTGTTGGCAAATGCATCAAGCTTTGACAATAAAATCCACAGGGGAGGCAGGAGAGGAATTCAAGGAAATTTTCCTACCCCAAAAATTATTTTCTTACCTTCCCACTCACTTCCAGTAGTCAAATACATCATTCTGCCTTATTCAGTGTTTCTCTTTTGATTGCCAGTTGTCTTCTCTTCAAGGTAGGAAAACCCTTAAGTGAATTCCAGACCATCACATTCCAGTGACTCACTCATCATTTCACAGCCCACATTGGCATTACAGTTCAATTCTTATTTCTGTGACAGAACCTGTAACAAGAATAGGAATGGTAAACCAGGAAACTGTTATGATGGTGATTGTAATGAAGAAAAAGAAAAAAGGAGGCAATTTTCCCCTATTCTTATACTCTAAAAATTACACTTGTGCTCCTGTGATGAAATCAGTGATGTTGGTAAGAAGCAGAAATGTCTCAGAATAATAATTTATGAAAATATCAGACTCATCTTAAACATAGACACATATGCAACCAAACTGATTTTTAATTAACATTTTATATCAGAACTTGTCAGTAAATTCAAAGTGTTAGCAACGTTAAACTTTCTCCAACGAAAATTCAAAGCACAGCATCATCTGTGAAACTGTTGCAATGGAGCAGAAACAGGTTGGGTATTTTTTCCCCAGTGCAATTTTCTGCCTTAGTGAGGAAGCACACATTAAAAACTGGTTCATAGCATTCCAATATCCTTTGTAATATTGTAAGTCCTTTTAAAGCTGGTGCGATGCTTCTTGTGTCTTTTTTTCCAGTGTTAACAGAAATTATTTTCAGCCTAAAAAGTAATTGGATATTATCTCTATCCTGTGGCTTTTCACTTGAACTAGTGAACTAAGACAACATACTAACAAAAATCAACTTGTAAGAGAATCAAAGAAGGATGTGTGGTAAACAACTTCGTTACAAGCTGGACCATCTCATGTAGCACAGAGCTTTCCCTCTGTTAATGAGCAATAAACCATTTTCACTCAGCACATCTGATTCCACTGGTGGTTCTTTCTCACTTTTTCAGCTTCTAGAACTTCGTACACTGCGCTTCCTCCCCTGAAACAGAGCAGTGGATCAAATCAAGCAGGACTGGTAAGTGTTTTCTAAATTTAAGAAACAGATCATGAACATTTGAATTACCAGCAAAGCAATTTCATTCATTTATCATCAAAAGTTAGAAACATCCCTTCTCAGTCAGGTAATTAGCAACATGAGTGACAGAGGGTTGTCAGCTGCCCTTTAAAAATGCAACTGCCCCTTTAGATATGTACAGCAGGTTGTGAGTCTCATGAAATGTGAGATGTACATAAAAACAAAACATCAGATCCACTCACCACCTTTTAATTATTTACCACAGACAGGATTTTTAGACTTCTCTTGATGGATTCCTAAAAAAGATTCAAAACAGCAGGATTCATCAGAGAATCCAGCTATGAAACACAGAGAAGATCATGGTGCATCATTCATGTTTTCAAACTCTGTGTTCTGAAGATGCCTTCAGCATTGATTTTGTGCACGTAACTCTAATTTATGCCTGAATTTTGCTGGGTTTCCTGAATTAAAAGCTCTTCTCCCTAGGAGCTTCATCAAATACACACTTCTGTGCTCCATCTCTATGACCCCACAGAAACAGCTTGTATATCATCTAAAAAGGAGTTTGAGCTACTGTCTCCCCACCTGTGTAGCTTTGCTGATGATTTCTCAGCTGATGGGTATAGTTATAGCCTGGATATAGATATATCAGACCCCACATCTACACTTCTGCAGGAGGCATTGTATTTCTACCAAAGACTAAGGTAGAGACTCTGTAAGTAGAGCCTATACAGAATTACTAAAATAAATGGAAATCTGAGAATAAATTTGGGTAGTTTTCATGAGGTGCCATCGGATTAATTACCAACACTGTTGAAAAACTACCTAATATAGTTATAAAAAAATATATATATATGAGTTTTACAAAAATACTATTTTACCAAATTATAAAATTTGACTCTTCAGTATCACAAGTTGGAAGAAGGTTATTTTTCTGTTAATATTAAAATCATCCATCTGATATCTCCTAAAGCTTGCAAAACTGTTATAGTAACTACTTGCACATTTGATTTTTTTCAATTTCCATGCATAATACTTCTGGCCAAAACAGAAGGCAAAAAAAATACAGTGGCTTTCAAAAGATTCACTCTGAAAAATACTTAAATATTTTTGTATTCTGTCACCTCCCCACATTGCCCTGAGCAATTTATTTTGAAAATGGCATCTGTAAGAAGCGTGAGAAAAAAAAAACCCAACAGATTCAACTGGCCTTATTTTGGAAATTACAACAATTCAGCAGCAGGGAAATTTTGAAACTTTTAAAATTTAAGATGGGTGATCACATTTTTACCCTCTTGTCTCTATTTTCCTTTCTTCAGGTATATTCACCAGAGCTTTTGTGAAAGTCTGGACAGAGAATATGAAATATTTCATTCCAGTATCTATCATAAAAATGAACATTCTTTATTTTATCATATATTGTGATCTCTCGTATGCACACAAAAGTCTTTTAGAGTATATTTTACATCTTCTGAAGTTACATGTTACCTCTCTTAACCTTAGAAAAGCTACATGCTATGTATCTCACAGCAAATAAAAATATATGACTTTGGAAGCACTGTAATTAGAAAATTAGTGTTTTTAAACCCAGAGGCACTAAAATTAATTACTGCTCCCTACATGTTTGAAAGTTTTATTAATTTTTTGGTTTAAAGTGAATAAATGCATGGGGTTTACCATTTCAAAGCTATATGAAAGTATCTTAATTTTTGAATAATTAGTTACTTTACCAGGACATGTCAAAACTTTCCAGGGTAAGCATATTTAGTGCAGATTTATGATAAAAACAATGGTGTCCCTTAAATATTTCAGTAAACATGGAAACTGAGGAAAAGCTTTTTGGAATGATGTCTACTTCACATGGAAGAGCATTAATATTTTGCAGTTCTTGCTTACACAGAAATAATGTTTTTCTTTTATAATGCTGGTGAAGTTAGTAAGTGGCTTATTACATCTGGATTTTTTTTTTTTGCTATATTTTTCATTAGACTGTGACTTTCAGAGGTTTATAGAAAAACACTAGCCTTGCATATGCTATCCTGAAACCCAGACTGTATTACAGCTAGAGACAAGAAAAAAACATAATGTATGCCAGGAAGTAGATTTCCCACTCTTCTGTATATGGAGCTATTTCATTTTAATGACTTTCATTAAGAAGACAAAATTTCATTGAATGGAACAAGGAGCAAACTGACAAAGACATATTGCCAGAAAACTTCTGTATCTTCACAAATGCTATTTCACACTAGTCTGCCAATTTTGTGCTCTGCAATTATTTAAATTAAAAAAAAAATATATAAAAATTGGTTTGGTGAATGAGCTTAAACACTTAGGAGCAGGAAATTGAGCTCCATAAGGTTTCATGTAGTCCTTTTAGACATGTGGAGGACTGTGGTACCTTGCCACACCTAAAGACAGGCTAAACAAAGAGGGCAAAATAATATAATAAATTTATAATCACTACAGCTTCTTTCCAAAACAAGATTCACTAAGCTAAACTATATTATTTATGCCATTTTTGTAGCTTTTGGGTCAGCACTTTCTGATTAGTGCTGTCTAGAGAGATAAATGACACATCATGGAAAAAATGAAACTGTCAGAACCTGATGCTTCTAAGGATTTTTGACCAATATCAGGTACCAAGATTGCAAATACTGCTCCTCTAATGGAATATTTTTCAATAGACTACACAATAAAATAAACACAGGCTGTGTTTCTTCTTCCCTCAAGAGAGATAGAGAATTGAGACATGATAAATTTAAATCAGATGTCTTTTAAGTTTACGCTTGCATTTTAATATTCATCTCAGTGCATCCTAATGTCAGCACAAGGGGGAATTTTTTACCTCCCACAGTACCGACACCATTTTCATGTGGGTCTCCCTTTCCCAGGCTTTATGCACCTCAGCCTTTTACAGTCACAGCATGGGTGACTGGATAATAGCAGATTATCCAGTTTGCTGCTCCACCAGAAGCAAGATCACCAGAGCTGTTCTCCTCATGTGTCTGCTCTTCATCTGAGCTGGAATAATAAATGAGAGCTGTTTGTCTCATAAACGTTGCAAGTTCTCTTCATAGAGTTTATCATGCCAACAGGATTTTAAAAATAAGTGTTGTGATGCAGAGATAAAACAATCCTAGAGAAAAAACCCAGAACTTGACAGACTGTTGGTTAAAGATACTTTTCTACAAATGTAGCCCAAATGTAATAAACACCCTGCATAAAAATTATCTGTGTATTACTGAAAAAAATGCTTTATTAAAAATAGAAAATATCTTCTAGTGTCCTTTCACCTGTGTGAAGAATAGTTCAGGGAAAATTAGAGAATGGTGGAATAAAGGTTTGTTAGTTAATGAACCTAACTTCCAAAACTGAGTGTTATGTCCTCTTTGCAAATAATTTAGAGCATGATTTAAGAATTTTTTAAAGGCAAAGCATGAAAGAGAACAATTGCATAAAATTATTCAATTGTGTTTAATCGTATTTTCATTTGGGAAGACAAATAGAACAAGTTCTCTTTCATAAACTGCTTCAGGGCAAACCAGTGTGATTTTTAGAAAATTGTGTAGAGGAGAAAGATTTTTTTATGTTGCTCTTTTAACTTCTGAGTAAGATTAACACTACAATATTTATTTTGTAAAAAAAGATGTACCAGGATGGTCTTTAGATTAGCATTTTGACAACGAATCATCCTAAGAAAGAAAAATCTAGATATTTTTCATTTATTATGAGCATTATTTCAATGGTTTTTTACATGCTTCTTTTGGTTAGAGAGAGAAACATCCTGTGAGTTTATAAGCTTTAGAAAGAGCCAGACAATATCCTCAGGTGGTTCTAAAGAACACGTAGCAGCTCAATCTACTGTATTTTTCTCCTGGCATGCTAAATAAATATAAAAAATTATCCAAATAGACAGAGACATACGTACAAGCTTACTTTGGAGAATGAAGGTTTGACTTGACTAAGGAAAAAAGAAACTTTCCAAGTACTTACTAATTTGACTTTTCTCTGAAGCATATTGGTTTACCAGAAATTTTACCCAGAAGCTGTTTTTAATGAGCTACTCGGAAGATTCTTGTGCAGGAGGGGTTTAATACAAAGGCAATTTGTCTTAGTAATTCACATCTGTTTTCTATACAGTAAGACTGAATTTGCTTAAATATTTATGTGTCATTTATATTTCCTTTTGGCTAGAAATAAAGTGGGCTAAACTTACCTAAAATGCAACTTTACTCAAAATCTGGGTTTCAACTGTATGCAAGTCTCTTGTTCCAATATCTGTTCAGAAATGGTTCCCCAACTTCAGAGTTAAACACTGTGAGAGAGCACATAAAAGATAAATTTAAAAAAAAATAGTGACATCAAGACAAGGAGACAAACTGCAGTAGGAAAATCAACCCAAAAGAGACATTTCTGGCTCCCAGGACACTATTGATTCTCAAAGAAAACACATTTTTAATATTAATGTAGGTGCAGAAATGGGGACATCTGGAATAAAAGCAGTAAGTAAAAGTGTATGATCTTCATTTTTCTCTGTTCAGGTTGCTAGAGAGAAAGAGTAAAAACATATATATTGACCAACACAGAAGCTTTCTATTTTATCCTGCTTTGCCAACAAATTTGAGACACAAAAGCCATGCTAAGACAATTCAAAATTTTGCTATTGTTTTGGTAGCCTGAGTCTGATGAAGATCAATTAGCTGTAACACCACAGAGCATTTAAGGAAACCATAGGAGAGAAGTGAATTTGCCTCTGTTTTATGTAAAGAACAATTCACAGGAGTCTGACCAATATAAACAGAAAAAAAATCTGCCTAAATATTATTAGAAAGGAGCCTCTTTCAGTAGAGGTAGAGATCTTCTGCACATACAATTAAAAAAGGAAGGCCATGAGGCCCAAACCTTTAGAAGAATATTTTGGAAGCATTATGTATCAAATGGTAAAATGCATATTAAGCAAATTTAACAAGCTGTAAAAATTAAGGAAAAAACCCAAACCATGCTGATTCATTAAGCTTTGTGAATATGCATGACAATTTAATTATGAGAGACTGAAAGAAGTAGTCATACTAAAACAAAACAAGTCATACAGATAAATTGATATCAAATTAACATGTATAAACATGTTTAGAATTTATGCTATAGACCCTTTCAAGTTTCAAGTTTACCCAAGGGAAATTGAAATTTTGAAGCCTGAAGAGGAGATAATGTTCAATGCATGCCTACTGTGAAATTTTCAAAGATAAGGTGTTAGTTTTGCTTCAAGTTTTACTTTGTGTTTTGGAATTTAAAAGACAAAAAGTAGTTTGTCTTTAAAATTCAATAATCCATAAACATAAATGGCTTAATGTTTGCAACTCCAAGAGGAAAAAGCCTGCAGTTCAGTTTTTGACAAAAGTTGCAGTAATAGTCAATCAGCAGGATTAGTTTTGTATGAGAGATTGTTACAGGAACTTAATAAAATTCAGTTAAGATTCTTAACCTATTCTAGATAAAGCTGGTAACATTACTGAGGTATAATCAAGATACATCATTTAATTAAGAGCCAAGAGTAAGTCTATTTTTTCAGGATTTTTTAACAAAGTGCACATTAAATAATAATTTATCCTCTGCAGTTTTTCAAATTTAGAAAAGTGGGATATCATAAAAAGTAGAAATAAAATTAATCTTTGCATGTTGGATTTTTTATAGCAAATAGAAATAACCAAAAAGGGGACATCTAATCCTATATTTTGGATCTCAGTAGGTCCTCTGTGTTTCATGTGAGCAGCAGGAGTCTGAATATATTACTAAAATTCTACAGATTGCCACATTAACATATATTTTTAATAAACCATGAGTAGTACCACAACACCCGAAACTTCTTAAAATGGCAAAAGTTATTACAATTATATGCAAGTAGATCTGATCTTGTATTCTAGAAAAAAGGCATAATGGGGAGTATGAGTACATCATCTGAAGTAAAGAGAGAACTAGAAGCATTTGCAACAGCATATCCATAGACATGGTAGAAATTAATAATTTGCCAAGAAGAAAAATAGATTGTCAAGAATGAAATAAAATTATCCTAGTATTATTTAATTAAATACTCTAATTTAATAATTAAATACTCTAATACTCCAAAAACATACCCCAGAAAATTAGACCCATAAATGAAAGGCTTTTACAGTGCTAAAAACATTACAGCCTGTGCAAGAAAGCACATTTGATCCTTTGATTTAGGTAAAGAATGCCAAAGGATCAAAGATTCTGAAAGTTTTCAGTGGAATTGTAAAACATCTGTCAAATGCCAGAGTAAAAAAGCCAACTTGTAGCTGTACATCAGCAAAACCTGATTTTTAAGGTGGTGGTAGACATGTAGTAACTCTACCTGTGACCCTGCACATTAATATCAGTATCCAAATATCCTAGACCAAACTGTCATTTGATATTTATACCACCAGACTCAATCTTACAAAAATATTTAATATGCATAATCTAGATATATTCATGCAAATACAAGTAATAAATAACTTAAAATGAAGAAAATAATAAATTAAATTTAATCCCTATGGATTAGCAACAAAGACATTTTCATCTCTGGATAGGTGTTAAGATATTTATGGCATTTAGAATGCAACTGACTGTGCACTAAAGTATCCCAAACCAACCTGATCAAGCTGCTCTATTGATTTTTTTTTCTCATCTTTGGATAAGGTTTGCTTCATTGGCTTTGTTCCATGTCATTAAAAATTACTGGGTGATATTATGGTTTTTCTCATCATAATGGTTATCAGCCAGCAGTTCCACATACCTGGGATCAATCAATACCCCAGTTTCTATTAAATCCTGAAGTATATTAGTCTTGCCTACTAGAACTAGATGCTTATATACCCTTACACACCTTCCCAGTACACACCTGAGGATAATAGTGTCACTCAGACTTTCATCCTTGAGATGCTGATGAAGCCAAGAGCAGATGATACTTCTTAACTCAAATCAGAGAGCCAACAGAGGCCTTTGCTTCTTCTGACCAGCATAATAAAATACATCAAAAAATTCTTTTACTGGCTTTAGCTGCATGATTTGAGACATCAGTAACTGTCTCCTCACTACTTTGCAGTGTACATATCATTTTCTTACCTCGTCCTTTTCTGACCCTTTCAACATTTGATAAAGAAATTGATAAAGAAATACTGTCTTATTTTCCCTGCCTGCTGTGAGGTCTTGGCTAAACTTAACACACCTCTCTCACCAGCTCTAGGATATGCCCATTTAATCACCCTGGAACTCTCTGAACCC